CAGGTATAGGTCCAGGTCCAGGTATAGGTCCAGGTATAGGTCCAGGTCCAGGTATAGGTCCAGGTATAGGTCCAGGTATAGTTCCAGGTATAGGTCCAGGTATAGGTCCAGGTCCAGGTATACCTGAAAGACACAAAAACACATGTTAAGGATAGAAAAAATAATTACAAATACAAAACAGGTTGAGCAGAGTAAGTAAAGACAGCAGCAGAGTGAAAATCAGTGACCGACAGTGTTCTGACGTCACGTTTTAGTACCTACTTGTTCGGGTTAGAACCACAGAGCCAAGGGTCCTGAAAATAGGGACAGGTTCTACGTACCGTTACTAATGGAAAAGGTCAAATTTAGTAAATCTACTTACCAGCTTTTCTTGTCTTCAGCAATCCTGTCTCCTCGGTCCTGGTTCCTTTGGTCCTGGTTCTCCTCGGGCCTTGCCTGCCACCAGTTGCCTGCCTCCCCTGTCCTGTCGGACCCTCGGTCTTCTCTCCCTCTGGAGCTCCCCCATGGATTTGGAGTTGGACCCAAAGACAAAACATCATATTAATATTGCCTGTTCATCCTGCCGGCCTCCTCTGACCATCTCCTTCTTCTTCCAGGAGCTCCAGAGAAGCAACTGTCTATTACCATTGTAAATAATAAACACTTACTTTTGTACCCACCTGTGTCTGTCTCGTTCCGGGTCTCATACAACTCTGGCTTCCCCGAGTCATAGCAAAACCATTGCAATAGTCCAGTCTAGACGTGACAAATGCATGGACCAGTTCTTCTGCATCATCTTTAGATCAGATGTTTCTAATGTTAGTGATATTACGCAGGTGGAAGAAGGAGGTTCTAGTAACGTTTTTAATGTGGGGGATAAAAGACATGTCCTGATCAAAAATCACACCAAGGTTTTAAACATTAGAGCTGGAGGACAGATTAATGCCATCCAGACCAGAGAAAGTACTTTCTGTTGAAAGTAATGTTATTTTACAGTAATTGTTTTTTATTTATTTATTTTGGCTATAACAATTGTTGGTAAGAGATTATTGCACATAATGGGCATTATTTGTTAGCATTAAATGTACATATTCACATGTACATGTCACTGAAAGTGCTACAATAAAATTACATTTTTATGCATAAAGTATTTTTCAGATGTATTTATTTGGGAAATGATTTAAAAAGTGTATGTATCATTAGTAACATTAACATTTTCAAATACATATTTTTTTAAAACTTAGTTAACTGCTGAAAAGTATTGGATACATATATTTGTAATATATTTTTAAAGTATGGTTTGAAAACAAAATTTTACAAATACATTCAAAGTGCATTTTAAAAAGTTTATATGAAGTTCAAGTTTATAAATAAATTTGATTGAAATTTATTTTACATTTCACAAAAAAATAGTACTTCATGAAGTGTAACAAAATATATTTTATAACAATGTACTTGAACTATATTTAGATAAATCTATTTATTTTACATTTTCGATGTAATCCTAATAAGTACATTTACTTGAGAACATATTATAATGTGTTTCTTGAAAATTAAGCTAACTTAAAATATACTTAAGTACATTAAATTTTCACCAGGGGTGACATTTACATCTTCATCTTTAAAGCACTTGTAATTCATACATCTCCTCCTACATGTCTCTGCGTGAGTGCAGCTACAGCGTGCGCTCTCAGGACATCATTACCTGCAGTGTTCCCTCAGTGAGGACTGAACTAGACAAAAGGACCTTCTCCTGCTCCGCTCCTGTTTCCTGGAACATCTTGTAAAAAGATCTGAAGCTCTTGACCTTTGACCTCTCTAAGTGTCTTTAAAACATGTTAAGTACTTGGCAAAAACCAATGCAGACATGTTCCTGTCTGTAGTTTTCTAAATGACCTTGTGATCTGTTTTTTGCTGCTACTCCTCTTGATTGTGCTTTCGGTTGCTATTTTGCTTCGATTTGTTAAAAAAAAAAAAGGAGAACCTTAAATTTGTATGCCTGTTTTATGACCGTCTACTGTCACTGTTGTCATCACTCTTTGTTAAGAAATCAGGTCTCTCTTGTAAATGAGTCCTGGAGGAGGCTCAGTGGTTTAACTTGTCTAAATAAAGGTTGGATGGATGAAAGACTGAAAAATGTATTCCTAAGATGCTCAGGCCCAAAAATCACAACCTCAAGTAAAAATTAAGGGTCATCCAAGTTTTCATGTCTGTAAGACATGATTGTAACTTTAGCTGATTGGATTAATCGATTATTGTTGTTATCTTCAATTCATTTACATAGCGCCAATAAACAAAAGTGCCCACGCGCGTTACAGCTCGAGAGATGTCCCGAGACGTTTCAACCAGAGTCATAGATCTCGCGAGGCATCCTGCGTTGCCTAGCAACGTGACTAACACTCCGCAGCTCGTTCCGTTCAGGTTTCCTCAAATGTTAGCTGGAACCACTGGAAGCTGTAACTGTTGTTTAGCTGTGTGGTTTGTTCCTTAACTTCAAAACGTGTGTGTGGATTTAAAAACCAACTTGAGATGTCCGCGTCGTCTCAGTCCAGCTTTATGTTCGGCCTCCGGACAGGGGCAGCCAACAGCCTGTGTTTCCTGGACGAGCAGACCGTGGTCTACCCCGGCGGGAGCAGCTGCGTGTGCCACAACTTTGTGCACAGACGTCAGCGATTCATTTCCGGTACTTCTCGCGCTTTTCACACGTTTTAGTTTCCTCCTAACAACAAAGTCATGGGTAAATATTTACTGCATATCAGGCTTTTTTTAAACCTCACCCGCCGTCTTGTGCGCATGCTCCAAGTCAGTAATTCTTCTTCTTCTTCTTATTGGGGTTTCATGGCGGTGAGCAAACAACTGAAAGGTGCATGGCCGCCACCTACTGGTGTGGAGTATGGACTGGATCAACGTTCATAAAATAAAAAATAAAAAAAACTATATTCTCTCAAACAATCGAGTTTGTTTCAAGTATTGCATTAAAGCTCGAATACTTTCAGACTTTGAATTGTGCTGTAATAATTAAAAAAAATCCAATCTTAATTTCATGTCAGTGAGTCTAGTATTCAGTTGATTCCTTTCAAGACTGTATTTTTGACAATGTATTAACACATGTTCTGCATCCTCATCCTCTCCACAGTACCCACATTTTCCTGTATCATGTTTTCCTATAATGAACAATGACTTATTCAACCCAACATGTCCAAATCTTAGCCGTGATAGAACTATTTCCTCCCTTCTGTTTCTTCCAGCGCACCTCATTTCTCCCGTTTTCCTTTGAATTCTATAAAACCAACGTCCTTTTCTTCCTTCCTCCCACTGTTTTTTGCCATTTTTCTCTCATTTTTTGTTTAATAATGCTTTTTAATTCTGATTTACTGTATGCTATTTCTATATCCACTACCTCTCTTTTGGTAGCACTTTTCGCTATTTTGTCTACTTTTTCATTTCCTGTTATACCAACATGTGCTGGTATCCATAAGAAAGTCACAGCTAGTCCCATCATTTTCAACCTGTACAGCATTTGTTGTATTTCTACTAATATATCCGGCCGACACTCTGAACCATTATGTTTTAAACTGATTAAAGAAGAGCTAGAATCCGAACATATTATTGTTCTCATCGGTTAAGTCAGTAATTCGCAATGCATTGTGGTCTAAGTAAGACGAAACGTTTCTAGTTTTGTGTTTTGTTTTGTTTTGTTGTGTTGTGTGTTTTGTTTTGTGTTTTGTTTTTTGTTTTGTTTTGTTTTGTTTTGTTTTGTTTTGTTTTGTGTTTTGTTTTGTTTTGTGTTTTGTGTTTTGTTTTGTTTTTTGTTTTGTGTTTTGTGTTTTGTGTTTTGTTTTGTGTTTTGTGTTTTGTTTTGTTGTGTTTTGTGTTTTGTGTTTTGTTTTGTTTTGTTGTGTTTTTTGTTTTGTGTTTTGTGTTTTGTGTTTTGTTTTGTTGTGTTTTGTGTTTTGTGTT